GGTTTTACTTACTTTGATGTCCCTGTAAAGAAGCAGTTTCTCTGAACGAAGTACAACGTACTTGTCCTGGAATTTGTGACCCGAGAGCAATTTGGAGGATCCATCGCTGAACTTCAGATAGTCGCTCTTTAGAAACTGTCTCGGATCTGTTGGGGGGGGGAAAAAAAAAAAAAAAAAAAGAACTGGAAACATGCTGCAGAACGTGAGAAAATAGACCATCTATAGATTTATTGTGTCTCGCAAACATAAAGCTAACCGTAGAACGTCTCCACATTCAAATGTACTTTATTGAGATTTTATGTTGCGCTTAAATGAGAAGTGGAAGTAACAAAAATCTGAAGCGTATAGCATGCATTTGAAATGAGCTCCCTTGAGTCAATATCTTCCACTAAGTTTTGTTGAACTTTGGGAGTGTGATATATAAAGCTAAATTAGTTTTTCAAAAAATTTAAGTCAGATTTCACATAGCACATCTGGGAGTCTCTTTTTACCATTACTTATTCATAACGTTTAGCCAAATTAACCTAGTTAGCATTGCTTTGAATATATACATCTGTAATTTAGTTATAATTTAGAAATGTGATGTATATCGATACTAATTTCATTCTAGTTTAACATTTATGTCTGTGTTGCAATAGTCACAGCCAGTCCTTTTCGTTCTAACCAACGGTTCCACAAGTTAATATCTACCGATATTAGCTAACGCTTTACTTTTAGCTAACGCAAATTAGCAACACCTTTCCACTGCTTATTGGTCACTTTTTGGCGGTGAATCGTTTTGCTCTTTACTTACAGATGTCACAGTATTGTACTAATCCTTCATTTCTTCTGGGCAAAACACTCAAAACATTGTGTAAACATTGGATCTCGTGACACTTTCCTGAGGAGGATTTTGTAAAGTATTACTGATAATAAACACAATACCACAGTTTCTGGTCACACAGTGACTAATGCATGGGATTTACTGTAAGGCCTTCATTGACGGCACACTTTACCTTTTCCTCCAGCCATTCTTTTGGCGCCTGCAAATTTCTTTATAACAAGAAAAGCAGAGCTCGGGCAGTCCAAGGCGCTCCACTCCAGCACCTGCTCAAGAATCTTTTCGCTGTGGTGCAGCGGTCGCTCTGTCGAAAGAGAACAACAAACCTCGTGATCAGTCATTGTGATAGGGAACGTAGCAGATCCCCCAAAAAGCGACAACGAAAGCCATTCCTGTCTTCTGACCTCGCTCGAATTCGACACGCGAGGCGCCAATTCACACCCAGGACGAACACATGTAAACCAAACGACATTATATATCTTGTTGTTCCTCCCATTGTCATTAAAGAGCAGTTTAAATTATCTACATCATATCAGGAGCTGATTATAAAAACACACTCATGTGAAAAATAGACCTATTATCTCCTCCTAATTGGTGAACAGGGGTGCATGCTGTCAGCCAAAAAAAAAAAAAAAAAAGCTGATAATTTGTGTACTACCTCCTCTGCTCTGATGGTTCCATTTCTACACCCCCGTGTTTTTCATAACCAAAGGAGGTAAAGAGAGCCACAGTGGCATAACTTATTAATAACACTGAGCTCATCTCAGAGCTGGAATCTCTGCAGACCCGGGCCGCGGAATTAGTTCCTCTTTTCCCAACAAATATTAGCTCCCCCCGCCCCCCTTTTTCTGCCCATTGTTCTCGTTAACCGTGCTTCTCTGAAGCTATTCACCAAGATGACTAATTAACGTACTCCCTCACCCCCTCTTTGTGGTTTTTACGAGCAAAACCTGTCGAGACGCAGCCTTTCAGAAATGCCTCGACTGTTTATCCTTCCCGAGACGTGCTGGTTTTGGCGTGGAAAATATTCGGATCTGTCAGCAAATATATAAATATATATGTTTAGCATTCAACACACCTTCGCTGTTCGGAGAGGACGGCGCGTCCTCTGGAACTTTTTTTTGAGAAGGAAAATAAACAGAAGAGTGAGGTGTAAACTCCAAGTGAACTGATGAAAAGTGCACGGGGGATGGGCGAGCTAAGCAGCTTTGTGACGAATCAGACTTTCCTCTTTGCGCGGTTCTCTTCTACGATCAAATGGGGAAGTGTGAAGCACAAGGAGCTGTCGTTGCCTATTAATGTGAGATGAGGCGGGTCAGCTCTCTAGGTCGATCATGCAGGAAAGATGAAGGTAATCTATGACATACGACGGCACCGATGATTAATTAATGTGCATATCATCAGACCAATGATGCTCGGATAATTTCTCAGCGTGCCGCCGCCGCGTTCACACAGACGCCGGTTCATTAAAGAGATGGCATAATCTCCTAATCGACAGGCCAACGAATGAGGGTCTGTTCTTTCCACGAGCCACGCAACAAAATGCCAACCGTAAACGGTAACGTGACGCTAATTGGACACAAAGCGGACCACAGGAGAAAGTTTAAAGCTTGGGCGTTTGTTGTTCAGGGATTCAGTGAGTTTAATTGTGGGACATATAATTAATTATTCTGTCAATATAGTAAGGCTATGATGTGATGCATTTAGGAATGCACAAGTGCTGAGTACGCGTTTTATGTCGGGAGTCAGTGATATTACAGAATCAAGTTTAGAACAGATATATTTCTCTGCTGGTCATCTTTTAGTATGATACCTGGGAAAAAACAAAAATAAAATAAAATCAAAGGCTTGTTAAAAAAAAAAACCCACCTACTTAGAACCAGTTATTTAAAAGAAATTGCATATGTTGAGGATGGAGCGAGAAAAATAGTTCTAATTCCAAACAATATCGTATTTTTACACATTTATTCAGACCTACAGAGAAGTTACTCGTCAACTTTTGACACCTCGTCTTCTCTATCTGTCTGAAGGTAAACTGGACCTTGTAGGTCTGTTCACATGACCAAAATACTTTGTCATTAAATGCCTCAATAATGAAAGAAAGAACATTTCAAAGATATGTTTAATAAGGTCTACGTACATATGTACACATATATAACATATCCAGTATAAACTATACAATTCATTTAATTCTATGCATCTATATTTGTATCTACACACAGACTTGAGTTATATATATATATATATATGTTTTCATATTGATCTTCAAGTGAAATAACTAAAGTTTCCAACCTTATATACCACATATTTAATCTTAGGTGATTTAACACTTTGTGCACATTAACTAACAGTTTGCTACCCAATTACTTACTTGCTTAATAGTTAAATAAAATGAACTAAATGCATGTGTACTGTAAATCTTGACCTTGAGTTACAACATAAGGTAATACGCTGACTAAGTTTAAGAAACAATGTGAAGTCCTCAGAATAATAGGAAGAATAGGCACAAAATAATCTTTTAAAAGTCAAACCAGGCATCAGTTTATCGAAGCAGTCGATTCGGCTCCAACACCATTTAAATTACAAAAAATATTCTAATTTTCAAAATTTTACAACGTTTTCCAAAAATGTTGTAATTCCCTCTTAAACATTAGTCCAAAGGAGCTCGGTCTTATAAATGCACCAAGTATTCAAAGCGGAGGAAATCCTGCTGTCCCTGACGACATATCTCAGCATTGACTAAGCGTCCTTAGCCCAGGTTTGCAGAACGCACGAGAAAAAGGTTCATGCAGTGCTTCGAGCAAAAAAACAAAACAAAACAAACAAACAAAAAAAAAACACTGCAGGACCTGACAAAATTAATCATGAAAGCAATTTTAGTAATTATATTTCAGGTGCAAAAAACAAAGAAGACCACTGAAAAAACAGATGTGAATGAAAAGCACATTATGAGACTACAGTGGAAACATTCTGTTGAAAAGACAAGACTGACATTGATGAGAACAATAAGAATGTTCTTCTCAATATTGAATCCTAACCGGCTGAGGTCAATTAATAGCGACCTTACCTGTGGAAAGTGTTTTAAATGTTGGTTTTGGATTCTTTTAAAATCGTATAAATGAGTCGCTGTCGCACTTTTGGGGAACTGGTCAGCCAATCGCAGGTTCAGTACCGTTCCACGTTTTCTCCATTTCCAGAATGATGCATGTCACTGACTTTGCTTCTCCTCTTGATTCATTTACTTTTCTTAATATGGGCATAGTGTGTTGCTTTTTGACTTTATGCTGTCAGACAGATTCCATTTAAGCAATTTCATTACCCTAAAGGTCACATAGTAATCAGGCACTGCTGTGGCGAGTGAAACTGAACTTCACTCTCCAAAGCTGTGGGCTAACACCATTTCCAAAATAAGACCAGGTTCATTTCAAAAGCTTGTATATGTTAATGGAAAGGAGTAAATCATAATTTGAAAATCATTTTTGATATTTGGGCAGGTTATCAGAAACTGAAGAAATCTGCAAAAGTGGAAATACTTTTTCACAGCACTGTAACTTAGGCCTAGCTGAGAATTTCAGCGAAATGTATTCAAAGAAACTATAATATAATATGGACTCATATACAAAAAGGTTCTGGTTAAAATACAGCTATACGATGATAAAAGATTATTGTGTTTTTAGATTTTTTTTTATACTTTTAGATGTAAACATGTTTTATAAATGAGCCTGAACTGAACTGTACATAATTTTTGATCTCAATATGACTACAGCATTTCATTGCAATACTGTATAAATGAATTCCACTTATCTGAATTGTAGCTGAACCAAAGTTTCTGCTTTGTAACTGGAGTCAAATTAGACCCCATTTTCTTGTGAGGTGCCTTGAAAGAAAATTAGTTTTTTCTTCTTTGTTCTAAATAAAAAGTGTCTTTTTTTATGCCAAAGTTGTTTATTTCCTGACTTCCTTGCTCTTCTAAGCCTTTTTTTCCTAGAACGCATAATTTAATTTGACAAGTCGTATCATACATGCCGTATCAAGCACCCCTTAATATGATGCAACCCGAATTGCACCCTTATAGTGATATTAATAAGCAAAAAAATAACAGACAATCTTGCATACCTAGTTCTCCATTTTCTATAACTTCAAAGGTGGTCCACAAGTCATCTGCCTTAAAGGTGTCGCTTCTCATACTCAGCGCAGTTTCTGCGAGCTCGCAGGACCGCATGCTTGGAGAGAGCTACCACAAACAAAAACGAAAATAAAGAAAAAAGTGTCACAAGGAGAAAATACCATAAAAAAAAACAAAACATGGATTTATGCAAATTGATTCATTGTACATGACAGAGTGAGTCAAAAGTATACCTGTCTCAACAAGGAGAAAACTGCCACCAAACTTTTCTCTGCAGCTTTTATCTGAACGTAAACCCTCTCAAGGATTGCGGCAAACATTAGACTGGGAGTCTGTGACCTTCAACTGCCAGCGCCCCACGGAAAACGCAATTACTTGCACAATTTACGCAGATTTCTTTGATTAGTTTGTTTTTCATTCATTTCAGTGGCAGTAATCCCACCAGGTTAAACCACAGATGTCTCAGCCTTGTTCCATCAACCTCCATTTATTGTTCAACCCACTCTTTCACCCTTGACAACCTCCATCCCGCTCTTGCTCTCTCTTACTTCCCCCCCTCCCACCCTTTTACATCGGGGCTTCCACAAAGCAGCGGCCTATGCATAAAGACACACACGCTCACCTTTATTAAGCAGCATTGCTCCGGCTCACGCTTTTCCAGATACACCTCGAAGATCAAATCCCCTGCTGGGCAGAACTGGAGAGAAAGGATGAGGGAGGGGAAAAAAAAACAAACAACTGCATCAGTCAAGTGATTTGTTGCTTTGTTTATAGAAATTCAGCTCCAACGCGGTAAAGCGAAAAACTAGAGAAGAGTGAGAGAAATTGCTAAAACTAATTGTGGGAGCCAGAGGGGTTCTCTTCAAAGCAGGAGGCAAAATAAAATGTAATGTGAATAAAAAGCCAAACTGACTAAAGAAGAAGGGGCACAGGTCAAAAGCTCCAATCCAAGTACAAATCTTTACTCGAGTGTCGCATTGAAGCTCGCCGAGTTTGAGGAGATTTAGAGGGCACGACTGAAGACGCGCGTGTTCGCTCCCCTGCTTTTGTTACGACAGGAAAAAAAGGTTAAGTGCCAGAAAATGGCCCTGTGGTCAATAAAGACCCTCGGGTCGGAACAAAACCTAAAACGTCTAATAAATAAAAGGTGTTTAAAAAAGTGTAGGTTTATGAAAATAAATGAAAAAAAAAATTTTTTTTGGGGGGGGGTGGAGGGGTCGGGGAGTGTTCACTGTTGAAGAAGCTAGGGAAACGTTGAACGCTAAAGCTACTGAAGTCAGATCCAGCTGAGTGGGGGAAAATTTCAGACATGTGACGAGCAGAAGAATCATGCTTTATAAAAAAATAAAAAAATAAAAAAATCTGGATGTTTACTTCATGTTGAAACGGTAGTAAGAATTTCTAATCCTACATTTCACCATGGTGGTCGTTTTGTCGCTGCGACATTAATGCTAGTTTATAAAGCTTAGAGAAAAGGAGGCAAATGAAGCTGATAAACAGAGCAGAGACGTGCAACACACAGAATGTGCTCAATAGTCAATCCCACAATTTCTCACTGCTTTGACTCATTGTCATCTACCATTATTTTGTTTCTTTTACCACAGCAAAATATGTTCAACCATATAACAGTCTGTCAATATTGTGTTTTTAAGGAGTTCTAATGCTTTTGCATGACCCCATCTACAACTATCTTGGCCCCTTTTCATTGTTTTTTTTTTTTTAATTATAATCAGGATTTTAACTAATGAGGATCTTACTAGATTTTAATGAATGGAAAGTGGGTGGAAGAAGCTCTCAGATATTCTGATTACAATTGAATCTTTTTCAGTAACTTGAAATCCTGATTGGTGCTCTCTGCTCTTTTGCAAGAAATCACACAAATCCGAGTCGTGCATCTTGCACGTTTTCAATTGAGTGACCACTGTATGTTTTCAAAAAAAAAAAAAAAAAAAAATACCTGATCAAAATAGGCCCGGTTTAAATGTACATGTAGCTGATGTAACTGATGTGGACTTATCTTTTCCAGCTTGAGACTGCCATTGTTAAACAGTAACATGCAATTCATTTGCAGAAATGCCGACACGCCTTCCTAATGTGTCGGGTTAAAATTCCCTCAAGTCAAATACATATTTTTAATAAAGTTGTATTCTAGACAACGATGCCGTGTTTCCAAGGTTTCGGGGACTTTGGAAACCTCTCTCACTCTCTCTCTCTCCAGAAAAATGGAGAACTAAGTGAGCATGAAGAGGTTCCTTTTTCCTTAGCTACCTTGAAATTGCAGTTACATTCCCTTTGTCATTTCAATGGGCAGGTGAACTGAGGTCCATTAATGGCTTGAGCTGTCTTATAATAAGAGGGATAGGGGCCCCTCCTGACTCCTGTGGCCCAAAAATGACTCGGAAATTACAGTCATTTAAACCAATGGAGCAAAAAGCTGTAATTGGGAAAATGTCACATGCGGATATGGAGCCACGTTGTTGCGCTCGGTTCTCTTCCTCCCCCCCCTCTCCTTTCTGTTCACGTTTTGTGTGAAGGCCGCAAGATCTCTCTGAGACCGCTGAATCGGTGGCGCAGCGAGTGGAGGAAATTAGACAGAATCAAGGCATTTTTGTAGTTAATTAAAGCCAACGCCGTGCTGGTCGTGAATGCAGGGTATCGATTTTAGAGTCAGTGCGAGCTTAAAAGGCATGACACTGCCTTGCTCCTCATTATATCGCTGATTCACTTTACTCCTCACTGTACACCGAGCTGTCCTGTCCTCTAAAGGATGCTTGCCCATTCCCTTCCATTAAACAGAACCTTTCAGGACCTTGCCTGCAGAATACAGAGCTGTGAAAATGTGTTTGCTTCCTTTCGGATTTCTGCTGTTTTTTTGTTTGTTTTTTTTTTGTCCCTTTTTAATTGCGTCATTACATCAAAACTAATTGTTAAATTAGCCCAAGACAATCTGACGAACACAAAAAGAAAATTTTATTTGATGACAAAAACAAGTAACAAAACGATCAAAACCTTCTCAACTTGGCCCCAGTGTAAAAAGAAACTACCCCCTTTGTTAAAACATTGGTTGTTTTTTTAGAGTTATTAGAGTATGTTTGTTATTATCTACAAATTGAAACGGCGGCGAACGACATCACGGTTGGCCGGCCTCACAAAATCGCTCCAAAGGTACATCAGTGACTCGATCCAGAATCTCACAAAAGCACATCTGAAGAACTGCAGCCGCTCTTGGCTTTGTTATTATCAGTGTTCATGATTACGTAATGAGAAACAAATACTTCCTTTTTGCCATAAAATGCTGTTCACGATTGAAAGGACATTTGGTAAAATATTCGTAGGTCTGTTGGGATACAACTGCAGCTTTTAGAAGCTGAAATAAAACTAATTTTGAGTCAAAATTGGCAGTGTTACCGTCGTGTTCTGGGTCTGCTTTGTTGCTTTAGGTCCGACTGATGAAGCCATGAATTTTGCTCTATTTCCCGAAAATACAGGAGGAAGTTTTCTAGCCATCAGGTCAGAAATGTGACCTTAACCACACTTGGGTACTGCAGCAGGACAACAAACCACTTCACACCGACGGATTCATCTCTGACAAACATAAAATGAAAATCTAGTGGCCAAGTCAAAGATCTGGTGCTGCTAAGGTGCTGCTAAAAACCCTTCAAACCATAGAACCGTGATAAGTAAATGATACGGTGGGGGGAAATACTTATTCAAAAGAGTCTTGCTGGATTGGCTAACTTTTTTTCCACCCAAAAAATTAAATCAACATTTCAAAGCTATTTATTGGATTTACTTGAATGAACTTTAGAACTAAAATTGGTTTGCAAAAATTTTAGGCCAACAAGGAAGCGATCTGCAACATGTTTAGCAACCTTTCAGTCCAAAAACGTCGAAGATCTCCAGACGGTTTTCCTAATTGGTGGTTCAGATTCAATATTTAGACAACTGCCAGTGAATCAACATTTGCACAAGCACTGTTTTCTAATATTTCCCTATGGCTACAATAACACCGAACGGAAGATTGGCATGGCATGTCAGCACTTAGCTGGACGTGCAGCCTAACTCAAAACAGCTGCAGAGGTAACTAAGCAAAGAATAAAAGTGACTTAATGGCTCATTTGGATTTTGCTTATGCTTCTTTTTTATTATTTTTTCCTAAAGAGAATTTGATTGTGATTTTTGCAACATTTTTGTTAAGAAACTGAGGAATTTAAAGTCACTTCGCTTGCCAAGCTGGATCTGAAGTAAAGATATAAAGCAGTGTTAGCATCGGGATGCTCCACATTGTGTGAGGGAGGGAAAAGGATGTTGCCCACAATAAGAAATCTGAAGGAGGAAGGTTTAAATAAATTAAGTAGGAGTAAGCCAATTATCCAGATTTGTACTTCAGTAGATGGTGTTTTTTGCAATACACAGCTTAGTAGGAGTTATTCCCGGTACGAGTATGAATTTGGCTTCATAATATATTACAAAAGTGGTTACATATTTAAAGAATTTTAAAAAGCATTCCCAGAAGCATGATCTTGCACTCAAAAACTGCTGCAGTTCAGTCAGCATTGAAGATTCTTAAAAAAATAAATAAATAAAAAAATAACCTATCCTATCCACATCTGAATGGTTTCACTCAGGCGCAGAGGCTTGACCATACAAATCTCTAGATATATAAAATCAGGTAAACAATGCAGAGATGAAGCAGAAATAACGCATGATTTTATGAGTTTAAAAAAAAAAAAAAAAAAAAAAAAAAAAAAAAAGCATGTACAGGATCTAGTGGCCTGGACAGGATGAGAGAGATTCCCAACACCGGGAATCGAACCCAGAACCACAAACCTCTGCACATCCTGCACGGGCTCTACCAACTGAGCCACACAGCGCCCCCTTGCTGCAGATAGCTGAATGAACTGGAACTACCCCTACCCCTAAAGGTCAACAAATACTGCACCACAGCAACCTAACGAAGATGGAACACATATAATGATCTGCAATATATGACTTTATATGGCAAAATCAGAATTGGAAACTCACCGTTTTGGTAGTCATAAGTGCGGCGCTACATTGTTATGATAAATACGTTTATCAAAACATAAGAAAACACTCATTAATGTGATCGTTAAAGCTACATCCGGAATTAAAATGATTTTACAACATTTGCTGAAATATTGCAGCAGAAAAAACGGCTCTCACGTCTTCGATTGTCTTCAGGAGACAAAGCGCCACAAATTTGAAATTTGAGGGCCTTACATAAAACCCCGACCTCGATAATGGCTCCAATGAAAGATAAATTAAAAAGCTAAAAATGAAATATAATCTGTTATCGTTTTCTGTCCAAAAAAAAAAAAGAAAAAAAAACCCACAGCCGAGTAAATCAGTGATTAAAAAAAGGAGCCAAGTGAAGTTCTGCTTTATGTGACAGCTTATATAGGCTTCAGACACACTATAAATAAATAGGAAAGCACTGCGAGTTCAACCTTTATAAACCTGTGGGTGGCAAATTACATTTTCATAAACTTTTATCGCATTTTCAGACGAGAGTGGCGAGGAGATGCTCTGCAGCAAAATGGAAGGATGCAAAGAAAGAAAAAAAGGCATCTCAGTCTGTGGCTTTGGTCCCGACTAATATTTAATGTAAAAATTCTATACTTTTCTAGACACAAACAAGTTCTACTTTGCTTTGAACGAACATTTAAAATTTAAATATACTTATGTAATTTGTGAGAGTATTGTTTTTTTTTTTGTTCTCAATGTAAATGTGAATATAGAAAGTGTTTTTTTGTAAAAGAAGAAAGCAAGGTTGAATTAGTGCAAATAAGCCCAGCGTCAGTCTGGGCTCTAGTCACACGAAGTCATGCAAGGAAGGAAGCATCGACAGAAGGAGGGAAGGTAAGAAGAAAGGATCAAGGTGTCAGGATGACCAGAAGGAAGGATACAAGGAGGGAAGGATAGATGCAAGGGAGGGAGGAAATTAAAAGGAGGAAACAATGGAAAGAAAGGACCAAAGGAAGTAAGGAAATATACAATTAAGGAAGCAAAGGAGGGAGGGAAGAAGGGAATGGTGACTCAAGGGAGAATCTGTCCTCATGCAAGGAAGGAAGAACAGAAGGAAGGATGCAAAAGAAGAAGGCAAAGGGGGAAAAAAATGGCAGACATGAGTACATCTTGTCTCGTTTCATGTTGTTCCAGACCTGGAAAATACCCGTCCCTAAAAACCCAGAACTTTTCAGAACGCGCGGGATCCCCGTTTTGAACTTGGCGCACACATGCTCCTCAACGCCAAGGCAGAAGCAAAGCCAGCAAGTAATTAAAACTGACAAAGAAAAAAGTAAAGTCAGATGATTAATGTAGCATTAAATTAATCCGAGCTTCACTTTAGAATGCTAATTCCTCCCTAAAACACGGGCACCAAGCTGAACTAACTTAATGTAGGCGAGACAACTTTTACATTTCCAGAAATCTCCATTGTTTGAAAGAGGAAGCCTTCATAACGAGGTTTTTTTTAAACCAAAAAAACCACAAAAAAACCCAAAAAAAAACACGTTATGTACTTTCCAATATTGAAGCCTTTTTTTTTTTTTTTTACTTTAAATAAAAACCTAACCATCCTCTTTAGTTTGTGTAGTTTTTACCTGCAGTAGCTCTCCTCTGAGTAGCCCTCAGGCCCAACATGCTTGACAGAACGGACACGTCGGAGGGGAAGATTGTGGGGGCAGAAAGTCTTCATAAACAACTCCTTTCTGATTTCTGCAACGGGGGCACCACGGGATTTAATTTTCCACCAACTTATCTAAACCAAGAGGGTTTTTTTTTTTTTTTTTTTTTTTTCTGCCCCCGTCATTCAGGCATAAAGCACCTGCTGTAAAGGTCAACGAGAACAAAATCCCAGCTTCTGCTCCCTCTGCCTCCCCGGCTCATTTCGGCTAGGAAAAAAAAACAAAAAAAAAAAAAAACACACAACAGAAAAACGAAGCCCGCGTTTGAGTCCCATAATGCATGCAGGCAAATCGATGTGCACGCACACGCACACACACACACACACCCAGAAGCGGCTCTTGCAGACCCGGAACACGCGGTTCTATCTGGACCGTGTGGGTCGACTTACTGCTGTGTCCTTCTTTTCATTCCAGCGTGTGATGAAGCTATTCTCTGTCTCCATCTGTTGCACCTGGTCTTCATTGACCTGTTTGAGGCAAAACAGAAAACACATCAGCGTTCACAATCGGACACAAAACAGCTCCCATTTAAGACACCTGTACTCGCTTGATGGGAATACGCACTCAGCCCGAGGTTGTGTGCTATTTGGATTTTAGGTGATAAAGCAACAAAGCAGTGTGCGATCGTGAAGTGGAAACAACACGAGACGTGGTTTGCGAATCGTTTACTGAGCTCCGGACTTTGAATCCGTCACCAGCCCCCCTTTAACTTGGACACCCCTAAATTAAATCCAGTATGTCTTGTTGCCTTCAGAAGTCACCTAGTTAGTAGAGTCCAGCAGTTTGCCAATTAAATCTCATAAAATGCAGCTTTTAATTGAAGGACTAAGAGGCTTGTTAGAGGCATTTAGCAGACAAACAGCATCTTGAAGAACACACACACACACACAGCAGATAAGTTGGGAATAAAGTTGAGTAGTTTAAAATAGAGGTATGTTATCAAACTGAAGGGTCCACAGTAGCTCTGGAGGAGCTGCAAAGATCCACAGGTCAGGTGGAAGAATATTTTGACAAAAGAACTGACAAAAACTGTCCTTCTTTGCCACACATGAAGTGTGGCGAAACACTGACCCACGCACACCGTCTGCATTGTGAAACATGACGATGGCAGAATCATGCAGCGGGACGATTTTCATGAGCAGGACGGCGGGTCAGAGTCGAAAGGAACATGGAAAACTAACTGCAGGGAAATTCACTTCTGCAAAGTGCTAGTAGCAGGTGGGTTGAGTGCAACTGTGTGCCACGCTTATCAGATTTCTTTCTAAAGAAAGTGGAATAATTTTTCCTCTCATCACAATCATGCTCTACAAAGCCTTGGTGAATCATATAGCCCAAACAAATCATTGCAAAAGCTTGACAAAATGTGGGGGGAAAAAATCCAGGGAGTGCGAGCACTTTTGCAAGGCACAGTAAAAAGAAAACAGAGGAGCAGGTCTAACCCAGAGGAAGGTTTAAAATTCTAGCAGCAGAAGCAGGTCATTCAGGAAAAACCTCCGAAAACTAATTTCTGAAGTAAAAAGTGGGCTGGAAATGTTTGATACCGCTCAGCTCCAGCTGAATAGTCTGCTTTCATAAAGATCTGTTGGGGGAAATTACATTTCTTTTTCCAACTTTTTCCTTTTTTTTTTTTCTTTTTCTTAAACTTCATTATCATTTTCAAAGAACAATTCGATTTGTTAGAGTCATAGAAATGGTGGAGAAGATGGTGGGAGGGGAGGAGACGGAGGGGTGGATGAGGGTTGGGGGGACTCTCAAACTCGTCGTGTGTGTTTGGGCCTGATAATAAGAGTCTGCCGACGACATCCGGCACAAACCCGAGGCTTAATTACTGAGACGTCTCCCCTCTTTTTATGTCACATCGAGTGCATTCACTCTAAGCTTAATGGCTATTTGTCATGCGAACGATGGCGTCTCGAACCGATTTGGAGCAAATGCTTCTCCTGTAACATCTAAACAAGAGAAAGATTGGGAAGCTCCACGTGGGAATTAGCAGCTGCTCGGTGCCGCTTATCCCGTAAGCCGTGTCAGCTCTGCGAGGGTAAGCGTGATCCCGTGGCCCCCCTCTCTCACTCATCTACACATCGGCAAAAAGTCACGAGAGTCCTGGAGACGTGGCAGCAGCAGCTCTGCTCCCCAGATGGTTCCGAGTGCAAATAAAGTCATAACTGCAGCTCGGTTCAGATTTGCAATATGGTCTTATTTAGATATTTGATTTATCTCCACTTCTGTTGTCAGGACAAACTCTGGTCCGATACGTCCGGCTGAGTGCACTTCATGCTTTGTAAAGTTTCCATTTGCTTTCATTTGAAAGCAGAACTGCGACTTATATTGCCACAGATGCTAAATTGCTTTCACTGATTGCTCATACTCCAGCTGCAATAGGATCATCTGCATTCTTTATTTGGAAAATATTTACATTTAGCTGCAGGCATGCATTTAAACATGAGTGCCAAATTATGTTATTAAGCAAGTAAGTAAAGTTCAAATCATGATTTTATTTATGAGGGGGAGCGGGGGAGGTTATCCGAGATAAGTTGGGAGTTGAAGTGACAGACCTGCAGAGTCAAGAAATCCCCTCAAATAGAACCTGCGATTCGCAACAAGCCAAAAAAGTACGGTAAAGTTATCGACAGATATCCGTGTAGGTAAGGCTGCAAAGTCATTTGTGAGGTTCTGGGATCCAGCAAGCTAACAGTGAGAGCGGTGACCCATAGAAGTTATTCCAGGAGCCCATCAACGATTCAAACAGGAAGTCAGAAAATAACCTAGAGTGGCAGGTAAAGCACGGCGCGCCTCACTTGCCTCAGAGAAGGTCAGTGTTCATAATTCAACAAGAAAAGAGATCAGGAGGGACGTGAATCCTTGGTAGAGGTCCAAGGGAGAAAACGCAGCTAACCAAAAAGAACATAAACACCTCTCTTACATCGTATCCTGATGGCTCCAAAGCTTTTGGGAAATATTCTGGGAAAGTTTGTTTTAGTTTGTGTAAAAAAAAAACAAACAACATTTCAGAAATGGAATATGACACGGACAATCAAATATGGCGGTGGCAGTGTGACGGTTTGGGGCTGATTTGCTACTTTGGGACCTTAACGTCTCGCCTGAATTGATGGAATCATGCAAAGTTAACCTTTTTTCATTGGCCATCTCAGTATGTAGACATAAACCACAGAGAAGAGACAGTAAAAAGAAGAAGAAGAAGAAAAAAACTATGATCGAAGAAATTTTGAAATCTCTTCAAAATCTTTCAAACCTTGTGAAATAATGTTGCAGATGACCAAGAGTTGTCCTGCTTCCAAAAGGAAATTGGTCTGTAAGAGAGCCGTTATCACTCTTTTTGTTCAAGTTAGGTATTTGTGAAATAAATAGCTTCAGACACGTAGAGCCGTGACGCAGGAATGAACTGCCCAACGCACAACAACCTCTTGAGGTAGATTTTATTATGTGGATTTTGGTCCAGTTGACCTGTTTCTGTTTCTCTTCCCTGATTTTCTTTTTTTATGATAGTTGTTTTTAGTTTTGGAGATGCAGTGTGTGGAGAATAAACTTGGCATACATAGGACACAATGCAAAATAGCAGCGAAGACAGTGGATTGTTTTTTTTTGTTTTTTTTTTACAACTTATGCAACGCGTTTATGCAATGAAAAAGACGGATGTTACCTAACTTCGCAGGCGGAAAACCCATATCAAGAGAGCGAGTAAAACTTGAAGTCTTTTTATGTCCATCAATTGTTTAAAATTGCGCACACACACACACACACAAAAAACATGAATTAAAACACCAAAGCGTTTTTTTTTTTTTGTTGTTTTTTTTTTGTCTTACACTAAAAAGCGTAACGTAGTTGCTGATTAGGTCACGAATCACGCTCATTTCCTGCGGAGTCTGTCCTTGCGTCTGGAACAGGCAGGAGGAGAAGACGGCGGCCAGTTTTTCACTCGGCATTCCGTTGAGGTGGGAGCACTGCTGAATCCTGTACAAAAAAACGAAAAAAGAAAAGAACCCGAAGCCCTGAAGGTAAGCAAACGACCACAGAGAGCTCAGCACCAGCAGCTTACATCTTTACGGCGCACTCGGAATTGAATAAAATGCGAGGCTCTGGGCCAAACTCAGCACCGGGCCAATTAGGCATTCTTGAATCGGTACATATAATTAACAGCTGAGTGACAACAAACCGGTGCAGGTATCTGAGGAGGGAGAGGTGTGTGTGATGTGAGCATCAGTGAATAAGACATGATGACAGCAGAGTGCTCATGTCTTAATCCAATTAGAGGTGGAAGAACCTAACAGCTTTGTGCCGTGATGCTGCGGCGGGACAAGATCCAGAGAGGAAAGCTGGCGCCCTTAAATTTTTGCATCCAGTGTTCGGATGCACAGTTCATTTAACACTAATTGCTATTGTTTTATTTTACGCCAACCTGCTGCTTATCATCAGTAAGCTGAATAATAAAGCTAAATGTTTTGTATATTCGGGCGATGAGCTGAATGAGAATGGAAATATCAGAAACTCATGGAATAAGCTGAGAGGAATAACTTCTATAGTTAAAAAAAAAAAAAAAAAAAATTCCCCCTGAGCTATGAACAGAGCCACTCTTACTGAGGAGTTCTGCAATTTGTTTGCTAATTGCCTGCGTTTTCAATAATGTGCCGCACAATCTGGTTGAGACGGAAAATATGGGCAAACGGTACAAACAATGAGGAATTTATTCAGCGTTTTCAACCCAAGGACACAGTTTTTTCCAGTGATAAGCAGCCTTTTCTAATTAAGCTTGCATTTTGAAGAACCTGCCAGCATTCCCACTGTACTGTACTTATGACAATGTCTTGGAAACTAAGCGAGACTTGTGAATGGGGAAAGTATAACAAAATGTTATATTATACAAAGTAGAGCAGTTTTTTTTTTTTTTTTTCAGAAAATAAGGTACAATAGATGAATCACAAGTGGACAAATGGCAAATCGAGAGCTATTTGGATGCAACGGCTCAAATTTCTTTTGAATCTTAAGAGAAACCCAGACCACTTTTCCCCAGGACAAATTAAAGGGTGTTTTTGTTGTTTTGCTTGGTATTTTTATTTTTTGTTTTTTCACTGTGGACTAGCTATATTAAAAATCAGCTACAACATGCATGTTTTCTGCAGGAGCTTGGTGGTGAAACAAAAACACGACCCACTTCCAATTACAGGTGAAGAGGACTGAGATTCCCTGACTGTGACCAAAACCGTGAGTCTGCGTGCACATACCTGTACAGGTGCTGAAGCAAGGCATGAAGAGTCGACTTGTAGATTTTTGGCAAACTCTCTATGAAAGTTGAATACTTCTTCACCCTCTGCTTCTCGTCCGTCTCGTCTGCGAACGAAACCGCACAAAAACGCGGCAGTCATTGCAACACTTTTGTCCCATTAGCGATGACGGCGTGATGATTAAACAACATCTCCAACGAAGGTTTTAGAGCCGGATGAGACAAAGATCGACCCATTTGCTCTCGATATCAAGACGAACGTTTGGAGGTGTCAAAGCAACGGCATTCAGACTAAAAGCAGGGGCACCAAGCACGGTGGTGGCAGCATCCTGCAGAGCGGCTGTTAAGCTCCCAGTGGTAGCGGTGCATTGCACAAATTGGAGTGAATAACGAGGAAGACTACCTCCAGAGTCCTCCACTTTATCTAATTTTAAAGGCTTGATGGATGGAACCTGGGCACAACTGGGCAGCCCAAATGGTAAATTGACTAAATATGTGTAGCACTTTTCTAGCCATACCAAACACTCAAAGCGCTTTTAAACTAGCGCCACGTTCACAACATTCATACGTTGAATCGGGCACCCCGACGAGACAGAAGGAAGCTGGAAAAAGAAAAAAAAAAAAAAGAAACAGCTTTAACAGATTGCAAGATGACTACTCTCCCCACTGAGACGCAGGACAGTGGTGTCAAACACATCTCACACAGGTGTGGACGTGACGCCTGTGAAAATGCGGTTTGTGAGAAAATCTGTGATAAATTCAGGCTTGTGCGCCTATTTGTTATTGATGTTTCTATGACTCCATAATGGAAAGAGGACATTTTGACTGAATCTGTTTGCATTTGTTCATCACTGTACAGTAAAGAAGCTGCAATACAGAATCTTTTTAAGACAGCCTTTTGTTTCTCTCCCGTCTTAGACCCTCTTCCATCTCAGTCACCTCACTTACCCAGAGCTGACACCCAGTAAGGATAGAGCTCCTTGGTCAAAAGTGCATCCTCCAACTGGGATAAGAAGTGCTTCAGGGTGTCTGTTACGTCTTCCAGCTGATGCTCCTTGTTCCTCAGCTTCACATTGCGGGCATCACGAGTGAACTCCTCCAGGAGGAGGGACACCCGGGCAGGATCTCCCGGAGACTGGTAGATCCCCTCCTGGCACAAGCCTGCATCGAGAGTGTGGTTATTTATTAAGAATCTAGCAGAGCACAGAATTTTTTTTTTCTTAAGAAGTGCTGAATTGTAAAACTGTAGGATAAAAGTATTGCTGTAAGACATCTTGGCCTCGTCACGTCACAGTTTCTTACATCAGTTTTACAGCAGCGCTGCCAAAGTGGCAATCATCTGTGTATAATGTAGGTTTTGGTAACCGCTTTGCGAAAATATCGACACCCTTGAGCTTCTATATGTTTTGTTACAAATTCAATCACAGCTATCATTGTACTGCGTGCTACTTAACCTGTTCAGTTTAACACAACTTCTAAGTTGATATGCGCATTGCATGAGCACTTGGGCCATTTGAGATGAGTTACTGTTTTCTAAATGAGGTAGAAACTATTGAGGAGGAGGATTAAGTGTCAAAAGCGCATGTGAGTTCAATGACATGCTAAAAATCACAGTGCCACATAGTGGCCTGGCATGACAACTACAGCTGTCTCATCTAAACGTTGAACTTTTTCCCAATCCTAAACAGCCTTAGATTATATGAATAGTCTCGTCATAAGATAGGTCAGCTGTTCTCGCACAGACACTCTTACAGAGTCATAAAGCAGCAGGGGTTTGGGTCCTTAATGCTCGAGACTAATCTTTTTGTTACCTTCCCGACCCAGAGCTCATCAGGATCAAAGCTGTCCTCTTTAACATCAAAGAGAACCCCCTTTTCTTCACAAAAGGTAATTGGCAAGACTATCTCTGCTTTAGTGCCACAAAATCTTTGGTGCATAGCAATCCACAATTTCACATTTGCAGTTTAATCAACCCTTTCCTCCCTTTTTTTTTTGGGAAACACCAAGAAACTACGACAAGACAACCTACTGTCACGAGCTCTATTGATAAAAAACTATAAAAGACGGCCCGAATTAACCGTTAGCTAGTGCAAACTTGACAGACTCTTTTGACTATATTGTTGTTCTCATCTAATAAGGCTTTATTAAATGTATTACTTCTTCTCATTCAGACTTTTGTGAAAGTATTCTTTCTAAGGCTGAAATCATATTGAATTGCTCTCCATCTAATTTCACTTATTTTGAACTAATTTGGAAAGCAGAATAGTTAAATATTTTAGGCAACCAAATATAAGCACACACACACACACACACACACACACATACACGTTTCAAATTTTTATTTGGAAGAAAATCAACATATCCGTGTCAATCCACTCCACAGTTGGGCGCTAATTTACTTCAGTCTATTTTCTAAAATCCCAAGAAAACGAATTAAAGCTCGTGGCTGTAACACGACGAAATGAGAAAACACCGCAAGGGCTATCAACGCCTTTGCATGGAGCCGTATATTTTTGTTGGGAGCGGTCCCACAGCGAGAGCATGGTGAAAAGTGGACTGCCTTTCTGACATTTCTAAAAATACCGTGAAAAGCGAGGTAGGATAATGTCACCACATTGTGCCAGACAACATTAAAAAGCATGAAAATCTCATCTCCGTTGGATGAATAAGCTCCTCAAGGGGGGGGGGGGACCTGAACATTAGTCATACAGAACTCACTCTTCCAGACTCGAGGCTCTGCAGGTAAATATGCGGCGACTCACCGTACTGAGTGACAAAAGCAATGCAGCTGTCGACTATAATAGGGACGCCGTTTTTGGTCAGCTGCTGGTCACCGAGCGCTCTGCCGTCTGTGCCGGCGGCCAGCGTGATTGCGGAGTGCCACAGAGAAAAGTCCATCCTGTTGAACCCGTGGATGTAAATTGTTCTGGTGAAAAGATGATAATATCAGCTAAAAGCCTGAGTGAAGATCACCCGAGGTTCACACGTTTTGGGGAAAAAAAAAAAAAAAAAAAAAAAAAACAACAACTTCTGAATCATTTAACAAACAACTGCCGAGATTAAAGGAATACAAAAGCGCTTCTACGTCTTCCCGTGAGGTTTGATGAAATACACACAAACAAACAGCAATTAGTGGCATCAGCACAAAGTCTTGTTGCGTTATTTAAATAAATAAATAAATAAATGGAGTCGGAAATTCTCAGCCGCATTGTGTTACCATCTCAGTCCTTGTCTCCTTATCTCAGGCGTAGCTTTAATTACCACAGATGGCTACAGAAGGTGAAGTGGATTTGGACTAACAAGACAAAAAAAAAAAACGAACTCAAAGCTAACAACACTGACTAATGAATATGCTTTTGGTGAATGGAAAAACATAATGATTATCTTTTTTTATTTTTTATTTTTTTGTCAAAGACATACCTTCCGCTTTCCACCATCAGAAGAACTTGGATCTTGTCTTCACCCTCGACATGTGTGGAGACAGCTGAGGAAAGAAAAGATTTGCAGGGGACAGTTTAGGTTTGCCATTTGCAACTCTATTTGGCTAAACTTGAAAGATGATGCATGAAGTGTCCATTATTAAGGACTTTTTTTTTTGATGTATTTATACTTTAAGTCGGTCACAAACACACCAAACCTCGATATGCACAAACAAATCCTAATCACGAATCAAGAAGAAACCGGGATATTTCAATTGCATTTCGTACCGTTTCATGTACTTTAAAATTGCAAAAGTTCCCAAATACATCAACACTGACACAAATGTAGATGTTGTGTTTGTCGTAAGGCAAGCGGAAGAATATTTCATAACGTGAAGCTATGCTGATGTAAACAGAAGAGCATTACACAGTCGACTGACAGAAATCACAATGCAGCAGGACATAAGAATAGAACTCGCATATTTAAATAAAATGGAAAAAAAAAGCAATATTGTCTCAGTTTTACAACGTTTATTTGTAAATTCATAGAAGATGGTAAATATAACGTAAGGAGAAAACATGGACGATAATAAATACATTCATTCATTAATTAAAGAACAAACAACCTTAGGCATATGGGACTTCATCTAATCCTTTCTTTTCAAGCTTTTGTGCTGCAACGCAATGTGTAGTTCTCCATTCTGATAAAGGTCTCGTAAAAATAATATTTAACAGCATTTTTTTTAAAGGTTGCAACTCTCAAGAGGGAGGAAACAATGCTAGTGTTAAGGTAAAAGATGTAACATTTCATCTGACCAATGTTTGTTCTCGTTTTGTTTTTAAATCTTCTGAAAAGATATCTGACCAGACTTTAAACCATAGCAAAGACATGTGGTAAGCAAATAAGACTTGTATTAAAAGTCATGCTCTGAGACAACTATTGATCCAATCTCTGGTACTGCATCTTCTTGGTAAGATTACATATTGGAACAAAGAAAGGAGAAAAAAAAAGTACAATGAAATTGATCAGCATTCAGGTTATCACATATTTTATAAGACTTGGCTTTCTTCATGTCAGATTGTGTAGTCAAGTCACATCATTACAACAGTCATTCGTACAGCCTTGCTGATTAGAAGAAAAAATGAGCGACTCGACATAATAGCTTTGGGAATAGAAAAGGATTGTTAAACAGTGATTTAACCTTCTTTTAACAGAAACACTGGCTAACAACTTTAAACTTTCAGATCAGATGTGAAATGTTTAGAACGACCTGGATGAGTGAGATCCATTACTACACAATCAATAAAATATTTAGAAGGTTGCACGAAAATTGGAAATCGATTTTCATGCGTGATACGTGCATCATCTGAATCCCGATGATGCATTTGACCAATCATGTAGGGTTCATGTCTATAGATGATTTAGACGGAACTGGTATGCGTGATAAAAATTAAAGAGCATGTAGAGCGAATTGATTGGGCGGATTTTATTCATCCAAAATCCAACAGTGTTTGAAATACTGCTTTAGCGGAAAAGAGGTATGTACGACAAAATATCAGTGTGAGATTGCGTGATTAATCAGACGCTCCAGATCAGACGTCTGACATTGACTCGATTTTGCCCGAACATCCCAATAAGCAAACATGGCGAGTAAACATGATATCGTCTAGATCTCTGATCAGACTTTTCAAAATTTCAAAGTAAAATCAGGTTGTAGGTTTCTTGTCATCTCACTGTGAGAAAGATGGTAAGGGAGGTGAACGGAAAAACTAAAAAATGTCAAAAGCTCACAGTTGGATAACTGCCAGGCAGAGGAACATCTCGGGGGTCATCGAGTTTCCTTGACAACCATTAATCACGTTCTATCAGCCTGCCAATTTTCAGATTGAGGATATTGTGAGAAAATGCCCGTCTCTTCTTCCCTCACAAACGCAAACATGTGGAGGGGAGCTGGAATTGCGTGCTCTGGTCGGAGACTAACGGACAACGCACATTAGAAGTGCGACGTAACGGAGCGTCTTTTGACAAACGTCAAAACACACCTTCAACACACACTGGAAACATCAGAACAAATCTGTGGATTTTTGCTAGATGTTATATATTTATGAAAGCAGGTGCTGTAACCTACATGAATTATTACACTAAAATAAATGTATGTCATTAAAACGCTCCCTTGGTGAATTCTTGCATGACTTCAAATTATTAAGTTATGCATTCCTTCTTAATATATTCAGTTCAAGAATATTCCTCATCAGAAATGGTAATCTTGGTAGAAACCAATCACAATTCCAACTTCAAAAACTTGAATAAACTCCAGCAAAAAATGCAGTGCATTAGTAGAAAAATTGCCAGAGCAGCAGCACGGAAGAAGAGCGCTAACAGGAACATAGTGCTATTTGTGTTTCTAATCATGTTTAGTTAGACGGTGGCACCGGTCGTTTCCCAGGCACTGCTGGTGTGCTCATTTCATTGAAACGAATGAAATGTGGAAAAGCACCAGATGCCCAGAGTAAAGCATGGAGGATCTGTGATGGTGTGGGTCTGGATAAATGAACACATTAAACAGTGAGCTTTTCAGTGTAGAAGCATGCTACAACGCTAAATATGTTACAACTGAGTTGCCAACAAATGTGCCATCTTTTGCAAAAGCTGCAGCTGAGCGATGCTAACAGGACAGATATTTTAATCGAAATAAATACCCAAGCACCTTTTGACCACTTGTGGGATTCCTCGAAGAACGATGCAGTGAAACGCCGCTTTCGTTTGGGTCCACACCGGCTCCTGAATAGCAGAAATCTGCCAATACTCGAGAACTCCTCTAAGATAATTCGTAACTGTCTATTTTAATAGCTTAAACACCAATTCTAATTAAATATACATCATTATGCACAACGGAGACCGACACAGCACTACCGCAGAAGGAAATATCTACCAGTTTTGGGGGTTGAGCCAATCAGCATCAAGGAAAATAAATGGCGCTCCTTTCCAAATGTCAGCCAACAATGTATCACGCCGTACGAATAAATCTGTCACTGTACTGTTAAAAATGTAAGCATTTATATTTACTTCTTTACTACCAGTTGGGATTTTGCAAAAAAAAATAAAATAAAATAATAATAAACATAAATAAATGAATAATGAAGACATAGAGAAATGAAAGGGAAGTGGGCAGCTGGCAAATCCTGAGAAAAACGTAAATGCCGTCTTAAACTTATAGATTTTCTCTTTTGTAATGGAAAATGCGACTACTTCCAAAATACCATCTTCACAATGATGGTAGATTAAAACATAAGTGGGAAGTAGGGCACAAAGAAAATTTTTATTTCTACACAATTCTCACAACGACAACAACAAAAAAGGTCTGAATGCAAATAGATTGCCTTGTTGGTCGTATTGAACGCATCAGTAAAACAGACACATTTACTGACATTCTTCATCTCCACAATCAGTCTTTTGAAATCGGAATAAGGGAGCGAGATACAGAGGAAGTGAGCTGAGGGACTCTGAAGCGCAGCCATAATCTCTTCGGGGGCTTCAAACAGCTGCTTGGATCATGGCAACAATCACACACAACAGAGAAAGAACAAAAAAAAAAAAAAAAAAAAGGAGACGAGGCTGCTCAAATCTCCTAGCAACAACATCTGGCACTTTCATCACTCTCAAGCACTGATTGTGCCCCAGTAATGGATAGAAGGATGAAAAATACAGAAAAAAAGACGCAGGACTTCATCTTAGCAAACCGTCGATTTTATGAGACGGATTGCTGCCTTAATAAATACCTTTATTCTGTAATTACCTTTAAGAATATAAGCTTTCGCACACGTGGGTGGATTTATATGCGTTCAGCATCTTCACTGGATAAATTCATTTGGAGCGCATCATACAAAAACCTTCAAATAAAAAACAAAATAAAAAAAACAAAACACATGCACTGAAGATATGCAGAAGCATATATTTTAATTTGATTGCAAGAAAGGCGACTGTCTAACTTTGATTGACAAGTCTTTTGTAGCAGCCAGTTGATGTTGATCCAGAAACGGGGAAAAGAAATACAATTAATCTCATAAAGTGTTTTTTTTTTTTTTTTTTGTAATTTTTCTCTGGCACATTTTCAAGGGTGCTGCGTTTTATTTTGATCCAAATAGCAAGAAAGGAAAGCCAAGAACTTAAGAGATTGACTTGAGAGGGGTTTATTAGGCGCGTTATCAGGTAAAATGCAAAACATTTGTCTTAGCCGTTTTGAACAAACATACAGAAATCCTCATTCATCCTACTACAAGCTCAGCGGCAATGGGTTTGTTTCTTAATCTGTCTATGTGATAAGTCTGCGGCCTTGTTTCCACCAAAGAATCTATTTTATGGTTGTTGTTTTTTTTTTTTTTTTTGCCAAATTCTTAATGTTCAAAGCAGTTATGTGTGTGTGTGTTTTTTTTCAAAGCTTTGTTACTGTGTGAACAAATGCTTCTGGTCAGCAGATGGTTTTTTTATGTCAGAAAACAAGGAATGGATTTAACTGGACTTACGAACATACAGCAGCGTTTTGTTCAAAAATCCCCGAGTTGATCATGACTTTTATTTTTTTTTAAACATAATTAGACTGCAAGAGAGATGAACAGCTTCTTTTGTAAACACTAATGACGTCTGAGCAAATACTAAAATGCATCTCATATTTTCCAAGAGATAATTTGTTGTTTGTGTGTTTTAATTCTCACTGTGGATCAACTGAGACCCAAGCCAAATGAACGCGTTTGTAAATCTTACCAGTCGTCAATGTTTTAGCCTGCGCCGTGCTGTCAGAGGGGTCATTTCCAAGTGATTTTTTTTTTTTTTTTTATTCCAACATGGCAGTTTGGCATCAAGACTAAGAGTGGCTGATGAAATTTATCTAAACTTTCAAAAAAAAAAAAAAGAAAAAAAAGTGAAAAACAAGTCGTAATTTAACAGACGGAGAGACTGCATTTTCAAGTAGCGTTTCCCTCCTAATAAATTAAATCAATTTTTTTGCATTTCGTCAGGTAATTTGTGTCCTGCGTTAAAAGTTTATTTGATGATCTGAAACTTTTAGCTGTGTTAGGGAGACAGTTTCGTTTTCACTACTATCTGCATATAATAAACTAAATGGACTTTTGCGAGGAAGCACTGGAATTACAACTACAGGATGTGCAAGACCGCAATCTTCTGCCAAGATCCATCTTCATTTAGGAGTTTAGGCAGAACAAGTCGGACAAAGCAGATTTTAGCATTTTGGCTGTCGTATGCAAGATGTAACCAGAGAGACTTTTACAGCTAAATGTTCTTACCGTATTTACAAAGCTTTCCTTTTGTAATGTAATGGGTTGTGCACTGTGACATATGAAGATTATCCAGCTAGAGCCACCTTTTGTTTTCTCCTTATTTTACTTTGATTTTCTGGTTACTCGCTAAACTTCAGGTTCTCTTCCAGAACAGGAACATTTAGTTTTTATTATTACTTAGAAACTGTGGAGTGCTCATCACTTATACAAATTTAGAGCATATTTAGAAAGTCCAGAGGTTCTTACTTACACTTATGTAGCAACTCAGAACAGGGATTAGAATTTGGAACCAAGAAATACTACTTTTTAGACTCCTGTTCTTCCAACCCAGAAAAGGAATTAGACCAGAGGTTACTTATACTTATCTACCAACCCTGAATAGGAGTATCTAGTTTATTTACTTTGGATCAACATTAGATTCTTTTCCTTCTTTTGCTCTTTCCTTTGGTTTGCTATTTGGTTTGTTTTTGTTTGTATTGGGAAAAGTCAAAATTTAAATTAAGTGAAACCATGTAAATAAAAGATCAAGGTTCTTTTTGGGGGGAGTGGGGGGTTTAGAGATCGGACAGGAAAACATTTCACATTACTGAATAAACCGATGATATGTGAAACAGCCAAATACAGCATAACTATGAATCAGAGAGCATGTAAAACAGCTGACGGATGTAGGAGTGAAGCACGTAGGAACTATTTGGTGACTTTAATTGAAAAGTGAGTTTATTTAATCCCTCAGTGTTACACAGGGGCACCTTTCATGTGGTGGTGTCGCTACAGAGAAAATAACAGTTAATCCCATGTCACAGACCAGGAATCCTGAGGCGATTTCTTTTTTTTTTTTTTTTACCAGCGCTCCAAAGCCCAACATACCCCTGACAAAACACGGGTCCCCTTCTGGCTGCAGGGGCTCTCCGGCTGTGACAAATATGGTTTGTGAAAGCCAGGAATAAAAATGAACACCGCTGCAGTTCTTTATCCCGCCCCAGGTGAGAAGATGGGGCGGCACTTTGCGTGATTTGATCCATGCCGAGCTGTAAGTAGATTAAAAAGATCTATTGATTCTCCCCTCCTTCTGTTCGTGCGTCACGCTGGTGCAATCAATTGAAATGTTCCAAAAATCTTCAACGTCTGCCAAAGCTTGTGTGAACTTTGGAGCCTTCCGCGCTGATGAGTAGAAATAACTCATGTTCAGCGGTAATTTGGACAAGCGGCAAGGATAAAACCAGCACATGTTTGCACAATTCCTTCTGAAGAAGATGCTGCTGCTCAACAAACTGAAGCAGGAAAATCACTTTGACAGATGCTTTTTGTAAGTGCATCACATATGTGCCTTTACTTCAAATAGAAAATTTTCTTTTTTGCTTTCTTAATGTGGAGACGCTTTTATTACGCGGGGACAATTTAATTTCAATTTGTGCTAGCTCAACCTCAGCATAGATTTGTGTAGTGTAGATGTGCACAGAAACATTGAAGTCAATCATTCTCCAGGAAAGTCATGAGCTCACCGTATATCAAAAGCCAGTAGTAGATGTCAGCATATTAAATGTTTTATGATGGCAGTCAAAAGGGAAAGAAAGTGAAACTTCTTTTTTTTAAAACCAATGACAAAACAAATCATCATGCACACCTCGCACCAACTATTACGCACAGAGGTGAAGGAGTGATGATTTGGGCTTACTTTCCAACTTCTGATCTTTCTGCCCCTTTTACACTAAGTTTACTTAAATACAATCAGTAGATTAAAATATGAGAGAGCTGAGACTAAGCCTGCAATGTGGGACGTCTACTTAAAACTTCTGGACATTAATAAACAAACACTAGACAATAATACCGCTCGGAAATATCTGCATTCTTTCCGTTTTTGGTATGGTTTCTGTGTTTTCAAACATTTTTGATCAGGCACCTTACATTGCTCTTTCTCCGAGTTTGACATTATAAAAATAGAAAATACTTTCCAAAAAACCCCCCCAGAAACCCACCATACAAATCAGTACGGCACTCACTGAGCTCTTGCAGTTGTTTGAGATGAAGCACTTCCTCCTCTCCCGCCTCATCTCCAGAGCTGAAGTGCAGGGCGGAGCCCTCCAGCATGAACCAGCCCGTCCTCCAGTGATACAGGTCATGGCCTTCTTTGTACTGGAGTCTGCCAATCAGTTCGCTTCGTTTCCGCACCAGTCCCTCCACCTTCGATGGGACGAAGCACTGTGGACAGCATGCGTTCATGAAACAGAGAGACGGAAAATATATTTCGCACGTCCAAATCAAATGCAAAGTAACTGCAACCGTACTGAATGTATATACTTTAGTTTGCATTCGCCGACAAAAGTTTCTGCGCCATGTTCTTTCGATTTAAACTGAAAGGCCGGCCTCTTTTGCAGAGGGAGAGGAGTGTTTAGCGATGCTGCATTGACTCTTTCCTACCAGCGACTAAGTCGTCTAAGACTGGAAAGATAAGAGAGGGAACAGTGGGCATATTTATATAGGGACTTATTAAAAGGCTCCTTCAGCAAAAGGGGGAAGATGGCAAAACCTCTCTCGTCTTACTGAAAGAGGCATTGCAGCGTGAACAAAACACACACACACAAAGAAAAAAACCTTCTTCACTTAAACTTCAGGTGAAAAACAAACTTATAGGAGGATGGAAATGCGCGCCGTGTGTGTGGGTGCGCTCGGCTCGAACGGTGTCACCTTTGCCAGCGCCTGGATCCAGTCGTGCTGCGTATCCTGCGTCTCGGCTCCGACAGTCAGGGCTCGCTCCGTTCGGAGGTAGAGCTCGACGGTAAACACAGCCCTGCCGGAGACACGAAGGTCAACTTTCAGAGGTTCCGAATGCGAGGAAGCGTCCGTGTACAGCAGCACACCCTCAAACTTTACGCATTTGCAAACGTTAAGCGTAGATGCATGCGCTGCATTAATTCAAGTTACCGTAAGAGCATTTTTTACCGTGGCACTTCAGAATCTAGGTGTTAAACTGTACATTAGCGGGAGCAAACACAGGGAGGCGGAGGGTAAAGGAGCTCCGTCACCGATTCATTCTGATTTACTGATGGTTTCCAAATGCATCACAAGCAGGAAATCTGTTGACATAAAAGATTAATCCGCACAGAAATAATCTCCTCTAGGGACGTAGCGAAAAGTCGCACATATCTGAAAGAATCACCTGAAAATGTTGGCGATGTGAAAACAGTAAACATACACAAACATGAACTTCCACCTAAACAGACAGACTGAGCAAAGAGAGAGTTGATCAGAGAAGAAGTCATGAAGCTCCTGGTAACTCTGGAGGAACTACAGACATCCACGGCTCAGGCGGGAGCATTATTATTATTATTTTTTTTTTTTGACAGTACAATCGTCCAACTTCAATCGAAGTGTGGCACAGAGAAAGGCCTTTTGAATCCCATTTCCAGTTGATCAAAATCAAGAAGACACAGGATGCTTGTGGACGAATTAAGATAAGACCACAAGCTTACGTTCTGAAAACAATTTGTATGACGTAAAAACCAAGGCTGCGCGTCACCCTGAAAGCCCGTGGCATAACACCGTGTTTATGCTGGGGAGTAACGATGGGAAGACAGATGGAGCTAAATAGAGGGCACACGTATTTGGGAGAAAAACCTGGTACTGGCTGCAAAGATACTACCGAGGAGGCTTATCTTCCAGAGAGATTGTAAACGGAACCAACCAAGAAACACTCGGCAACTTTTAATCAAAAACAGATGCAGGCGCACACATTAATCTTGGCTAAATGCAGCTAGCGCTTCATTTTTACAGAGGCTGAACCACGTCCCATTTTTGATGCCAAGATCAGAACACGTTCTAAGGGAAGTAAGTAAGAAGGAAAAAAGAAATCTTTGGCTTTTCCTTTAACAAGGCAAGCTTGAGAATTGGAATTTTTCTGGCCATGTTTCATTCAGGCCAAAAACCTTTAATACTACTGGTGTAGCTCAAATAGAGACATGTTTTAGGATGGCCTAATCAAAGTCTTAAACTAAATCCAATGGAAGATCTGTGACAAGACTTGATGTTCACACATGCTCATCATTAAATCCGTCTGAGCTTCTGTATAAAGACTAGGGGGAGAAACGCAAGAAGATATGCAAAGTTGGCAGATAAATAAGCCCAAAAAGGACTAGCAGGTGAAACTGCAGCAAAAGGTGGTTTAAAAACATTTCCACTCAGGAAAACGAAATAAAAATGCTCACCACACTGGTCATATTTTTTATTTGTAAAGATTTTTTTATTTTTTTTTTCATAACTTTTCATTTTCTCTGATAATGAATTTATGAAACCATTTATCAATTTCTTCATGTGACAGCAGCTCGTTTGTGTTGGCTTGTCATGTAAAATGTTGATGAGATATACGATGTCCGTGGCTGTGGGGTAACAAGACAAATCTTAGTGTTTCCAAGTAAGATTTTTTCAGAAAACACTAGAAAGTCTTGAGAAAAGAAAAAAAAAAAACTGAAAAAGAAATAAATGTTAAAATCTAAAACCTGTTGTGATATGAACAGCTGAAGATTTCTCAAGCTCTATTTGTACTTTTGTTAGACATTAATTCGCTGGCTGAACTGTGTTAGAAGACCCAATCGTTTACGCACAAAAAGCCTATTTCAAAGAAAAACTAAATAAAAAAAAACAACACTTCCAAAGTCAAACTCCCAGGCAAAACTTTGTAAAAAAAATAAAAATAAAAATACAAAGAAAGAAAGGCCACCATTATTCTGTTAGTCTTTTCACATCCTGTTGTGTTTGCCTCGGCTCTCAAACACCTTTGCTTCTGTCTATCAATGAAAGTGTCACAGGTCAGAGTATCGCCAGCTTAATGGCCTGCAAACAGGATCCCAAGCAGTCGTTACATCTCGACGCGGCGGCGCCTCTAAATGCTGCCGCGACGGGCGTTCAAGGCGACACGTCGCACGGGGTCAAGGCAACAACGAGTCACTTTCTTTTCACAGGTGTCAGGGGAATAGACGAGACATGGGTGTTTGCCCTCGTATGTCCCCCC